CTATTAAAAAGATAATATGCAAGATGAGAAATCGTGATAGAAATTTGAAAGAAGATTGGAATTATTGAATATACGAAAATTATTTCAAAAGATCTTTTAATTTTCAGATTCTATGATAGAATTTTGCCCGGGAAATTTCTAAGAATATTGAAATTCCTATATATTCCATAAAAAGGAGATTCATGAGAGGATGACGGGATTCTAATCAAATTAAGCGATCGATATTATCATATCTATTTCATAAATCATAGCAATTGGAAGACGAAAATATATAATAGAAATATAGAAAATATATATATATATCCCTCCTTCCCAAGATCTATATGAGAAGATTTTTCGATTCTAGAATTCTCAAATCCTGGGAATTCCAATTTTGGAGAAGATCTTCTTTCATAAAAATTCAATTTAAAATCTAATTGGGAATTAAATAGAAATCTTGGAAATCTGGAATCCTAGAATTCAAATCTTGGAAACGATTTTGATTTAAAGCAATTGATTTTAAAATCCGATTACGAATTAAAGCTCGAAATCCTGGAATTCTAATGATAGAGATGATATATTTTATATATATTATTAGAAAGCATTATCAGAAAATAAAAGCAATCTTGGAATTCTAGAATTTTGATTTTGGATGATAGATTTACTTTGAATCTATTCCTTTTAAAATATAATTAGAAATTGAAGAAGAAATTTGGAATCCTATAATTCCATTATTTTAGATGATTTTATTTTATATAGATTCTATATAAAATTGAATTAGAGATTAAAGCGAAATCTTGAAATCATAGAAATATCATTTTAGATATAATTCTTAATTTATATTAATATCTTTTCAAATATATCAGGAAAATATATAAGAATATTGAATCTTGGAATTATATTTTGGCAATCGATTTATTTTATATATTTTCTTTTAAAATCTAATTAAGAATTAGGCAGAAATCTTGGAAATTGATTTTTAAGATGATCTTATTTCATATAAATAATTATCTTGAAATTTTATTCGAAAGCAAAATGGAATAATGAATTCTAGAATTCTAATTTTTAGAGAGGCGGATATATTTTATATCCATTCCTTCTAAAATCAATTAGAAAATCAAGAGAAAATGGGAATATTTTAATTCTATATTTAAAGCTGATTTGATTTTATTCATATTTCTTGGAAATTCAAATTAGAAATTAAAGATAAAATTTGAAATCTTGAAATTATATATACGCAGATTGATTTTATCTTAGATATAATCTATAAATAATCTAATTATAATCTAAAGAGAAATCTTGGATTCCTATAATTCTATATTTGAAGATTGAATTTGATTTGATCAATTCTTTTTAAATTCCAATTATAATTCAAAAATGAAATCTGGGAATTTTATAATTCTCTTTTGATATTTTTTATCTATATTTCTTTTAAAATCTAATTAGGAATTAAAGAGAAATCTTGGAATCCTTGAATTCTAATTAAGGAAAATATGGTCTATATATTCATTTCTTTTCAAATCTTCTAAGAAATCAGAAGGAAAATTTAGAATCTTGGAATTATAATAGGAGAATAGAAGGATCTCTATCATTTATTCTTTCCTTTTCTATTTGAAATATATTATGATATATATTTATAAATCAAAATATATAAAATCAATTATGTAAATTTCTAATTCCTGATGATATGAATCTATTATCGACTATTATATTCATTTTTAGATATATTTAGAGTCAATAGCAAAATCTTGAATTGATAGAATCTTGAATTTCGAAGACGTTCTCGACCTCATAAATTTCTTAGCAAATATAATTGAAATTGATAATCAAATCTTGATTTCTTGCATTCCTGGATTTTCAAATTATTTCCGATCTTATATATTATTTATTGCATCAAATTACAATTAGTAGCAAAATATCAGACCCCTCTATGCCTGAATTTCAAAATTGATTGCGATCTTATGAATTCCGTATTATATTCAAATAGGATTGACAACGATATCCTGGATTCTTGGATTCCTGAATTTCTAGGAAAATTGAAAATCCAAAAATCAAATATTCAAAGATATATTTTGAAATATTATCATAATCTCATAAAATGCCAGAAATATGATAAAGATGAAATTTTGTAGGCTTCCAGTAGCCTAGTTACTAGAATTTTGATATTTTGACCCCTCCTCTGATTTTTATAAGATTTTAAGGAAAGCATTATCAACATCTGAAGGGATATAAAAAATCAAAAAATCAATCTAAAAAATATAATATTGCCAAAATCTGAAAGATAATAGAAAAAATTGAAATTTGGAGATCTTCGATTTAGAGATATCAGAAATTTTGATTTATTTGAAATCACCTCAGGATTTGATAATATTTTTCGTCAAAATCTGAGGATATAAAAAATGATGATAAAATTCTAGATATATTTCTTCAGATTTTGGCAATATTTTTTCCTCTAGAATTTGATTCGCTTTGATTTTTTTGATATTTGCTCGGATTTTAGTATTTTTTTCAAGGAGAATCTTACTGAAATCTCAGGATATATTTGACATATACAAAAATTGAGAATTTTTCGAATTTCTTCAATGAAATGCGACTAAATTCTTGGAATATTATAATAATAATTGAGCGGATATAAATATAGCAAAAAAATATTCTGCATAATCTTTTCAGCAATATCAGATGCGAATCTGATCTTCTTCACCATAAGTCTATATAATATAAGGCCTTTCAATATAAATCTTGGGAGGATAGAATAGCCATTTATTTATGTCCAAAGCTGAAAATCACGACGAATTCTATGAAATCCTATCTATAGAAAATAATATCGATTTGAACGAAATTACGTAGCATATATATATGGATTCCAAGAATTATGATATCATATATCTACGTTATTCGAGAAAGATTCGATATCAATTAAAGATGAAAAATAATAAAGAATCTAATAATATATTATTTTAAATATTCATTCAAATATCATATATAAATCACGCGGAAATTCATTCCGGAAGCAAGGACCGCGCGACCAAATATCTCCGGGATTTTTGGTCGCATCGCCCGCATGAAAAATCTCGAAGATTATTTGAATTTCAGCGCGGTGCCAGCTGGCAGCCATGGCAGCAACAAACTAAGCAAGGAAATTTCCCAAATCAAGCCTCTAGCTTTTCTGGAGAGCTCTAAGATCTCCGAGATTTTCGAGCTCCTAGGGAGTCCTTAAGAAGCATTTTAAAGGTGAGTCGGAAAAGCTAAGCCGCACGCGAGCGAGCGAAATAACTATAAGCGACCGCGTCGTATTATTGAGGAATTCTTTTATTTTGAAAATATAAATCAAAAATTATCAATATATATAATATATTATATTTCGAGAATACGAAAGCAAACCTTTCGAGAATAGAAAATCAATATATATTATATAATCTATAAATTTATTAAGATTGAGCATATCAATATATATATATCCGAATTACCAAGAATATATATTTCTTCTCGCATATTAGATTAATATCTTAATCGTATTTGAGAATCTTTATAAATAGATATCAAATGAATCAAATTTTATGAATGAAAATTATTTGAGCGAGAGAATCTCAAAAGAAAAATCGTAATCATATATTCCGAAAATATACATACTCTCGAGAAATATTTAAGGGGTTGCGCCCAGAAGCGGGCAACGCAGGTAGCGCATTTTCGTGGAATCCCTCCCAGAAGACCCCGGGATAATGGCAAAATATTATTTGATAAATTTTAGGTTTAGAATTTAGGAAATATAGATTTGGGGTTTGGTTCTAGGCGCTTAATTTTATAGATATTACCTCTTTTCTTCCTCATTTCCTCATATTCCTCATAATGCTAGAGGCTAGAAATTCATGTTCCTCATAATATTAGAGACTAGAAATCTTACCAAGAATTTTATCTGCCTTTGCAGCGTTGCAGCGCGCATGCGCGGGGAAGGAGGCGAGGGGGGGGGGGGGGCGCGCACGCGCGCGCGCCCCCCCCCCTGGAACTACCTTATTTACCTCAAAATAGCCCTTTCACTTAGTACTACCACACTTGCCACAAAATAATAGAAATACCTCCCAGTACTATTGATAATGCAGGCCAAATAGACCAGCATCATGAATATCATTTAAAAATCCATTTCTGAAATTGCGTGTCTTCCGGCGCACCCCACAATTCCATAAAATCGTATTCAGGCCGAGATGGGTCTCGGAAGCTAATTTTCAAAATGGCCCGTATCTACAATATATATTATAGGGGGTCTAAAAGACTTCAAAAATATTTCAAAAATCCCTCCGTGCCGTGGAGATTCGTTTCAAAAAGCCATATCAATTTTGCGGCAGTGGTAATAGGAAATCCGGGGGAAGTCCCTTAGAAGAATGGAAGTCCAATGATGTAGAATCGACAGTATTGCCATCCGTTCTAAGGCAAAATCAGTGCCATAACCTACGGCAATAATCTAAAATCATTGCCCAATTCCTATAATAAAATCTAATAGAATGTAAGCAAATCTCAATAAAATCAATTTTTTTCGATATATATAATCATGAGGGTCATTCCTCCTTCTAATATTATCTTAATAGAATATAGGAATTATGAGAATTCCCTTAATAAGATTTCATCAAAAATAATTATTGAGAATGAGAATGATATAAATATTAGAAATATTAATTCAATAGAAGGCATCATGCATAAGAATATAATCAAATCTAAATTATGTCGAGTTATCAGAAAAAAAATAATGAAATTATTTGCAAATCCCTCTGTATGTTGGTCTGTCTGCTGCACAGAACCAGAATTTCAATATCTCATCCCTAGCTTTGTGCAATTTTTCAGGGCGACGGAATTTGAAATGATTATTTTGACCACTTTGATTGTGGTAGGTCGCTATTGAGCCAAAGCTCAGCATATGAGAAGTAAAGCTTCTCTGAAAAGGCATCACTTCGTGAGACCTACATAGCTAGAAGGGCCAGAACGCCTTGAATCCAAATTCGTAATCCTAGCATGGCATGGCATCTCCTTGGTCATGACCTGAGCTGGGCATTCAATTGAATGTTGCATAGTGGCTGAAGGGGGCCCTGATGACATTCAGTTCCAAAGCAACTTACAGAGCTCTTGCTTTATGCACAAGAATGAAAGATATACACCCGAGATGTTGTTGACTCCATGTACTGCAACCTTGCTTCTTGAAGCAAGGAAAAACCCAATTCATCTCACTGAAACCCTAAAGGTCCTAAAAAGATTGCTCGCAACATACCAGTTGCTCGCTGTCCAGTGTCCCCGCTCTGGCGAGAGCAGATGTCACACATCCAAAGACGAGAAGAGCTGCGCCAACAATACTTACAGCACCTCAACGCCGGCAACGCACATCAAGAACCAAATAATGTTGGAAAGCCATAACATTTAGTGCCAGAACAGCTCAATATGAGTCCCCCCCTCCACACTTCCAATGCCCTGACGGAGGAGAATGTCCTGAAACTAGCTTTTCAAAAATTCGTCATTGCAAGTGAGGCCCGCGCCAGAAACCAAAGCTTGGGCTTCCGTGGCTCCTGCAAATACCACGAAGATCTCCATGACCTGAACTTCAGAAAACAGCCTGGTCAGTCCCTATACATCCCTGAGACATGACCTCATGCAGTCACGTCCTCAGTTCGGGTCCTTGAAACATGTGGCGGGTCCAAGCCCAACAGATGCAAATAACAGAGCAAGAGAGCAAGCTTCAATGGCCAGGCACCGTTTGTGGCAGCAGCGGCCCCAACGAATTGCCGATAAAGTTGTTGGCACCCTGCACCTCGAGTAACAGGTGACAGGATCCGTCACAAGCAGGTTCTCGTGTGAAAAGGAAGTCCGCATACAGCTCGCGATGACCCCTGGAGCACACATCCCTTTAAGATCAAGCCTGATAGGCTTTCAGCGTCTAGCGATTTGAAACCTGAAGGTCCAAGAGCAAACAAACGGCGGAATAACTCTGCCCAAGGCACGAGACCCACTCCAAGACTGCGCACCTTCTCGTTTGGCACCGAGTTGTTGCACACGATTCTGACCAGAACAGCCAATGCTTTCATATGAACACGGACTTGCTGGAGGAGATACTAACATAAAGCTATGGCTTGACCATATGGCAAAACTGGAATGGCCTCTGCGTTCATACAAATTGGTGCTTCTTCTTGCCAATACCAGGAAATACTCAGAGGATACCCACAGCTGAAGTCTCATTTTACGCTGTTGCGTTTTGCGACCTTCAATTTGCGAGGGTGCCTTCCTCGAAAACAACACTGGGCAACGGGAGAATGCGAAGCTTCATATATCGCGTACTGCAAGAAAAAGCTGAACGGGCATAGACCTTTCACATGCAATGTATCATAAGCATCGCCAGACTGTTGCAAGAATCTACCCTAGCCGCTACTAAAAGAAATCAAGTAACGGTCTTACATGGTCTCATTCAAGGAATGCAAGCAAAAGCTGGCATGGTCTTGGGCGAATGAAGTACCCACACGGGACGGAAGACCTTTCTTCAATGAAGTGGCTTACGGTAAGACTTCACTCCCCCTTCTCCTACGACTCCCGAAATCCTACTGGAAACGGCAACCCTCCCTGGCCAGTCAAGACTCTGGATGAGGCCCGTCGTTGCCCCAAGGCCGACGCACAGAAGGACAATGCCGGCCCAAGTCAAAGACAAGGTCTGGGCGCTTGGAGCGGCTTGGCGGCTTGCTTCACGCAACCGGGTTTCTGGAAAATGTCCCTTCCCTGCTGCTACCGTTCCACTTCCCTCAGAGGATAGTCTCCTCGATTTTGGATCTTTCCGGCCTCCTGTTTGGCTTCCCAACAAGAAACAACATTTGGAAAACTGATGCTCGTCGATCAATTTGCCTCTTCTGCAACTGGCCATGCTTCTGGCGGCCATTCTCTGCCGTTCAATGGCTGACAGGGAGGTCATCGCCAACATACACAAGCTCGACTTACTCTTTCCCACCCAGAACATCCCCAAACGAGTTCATAGTTGATTCAGTCTTGAGAAGACCGGGCTGCACGTGCGACTGCCCAAGCCAAAGACTAGACGGTTGAAGAAGACTTTTCTGAGCAAGAAGCCCACCACGAGCACCCCGAAACACTGAAACATTCAAACTGCAATGAAGATGTCTGTCATCAATGGGTGCTCAGTCAAAACAAGTCACAACCGCACTACAAGCAACCAGGATAACAGGGACCGTAGGAATGATCCAAATTCCAAAAAGAAGACCGAATCCATCACAACAGCCCAACTTTATCGCATGGTGCTAGCAGGCTACATACAAACATGGATCAGGGTTGAGGGCGCTTGCGCATCCTAAACGTTGTTCAGGTCGTCGGGCTCCCTACTTGGATCTACTCTGTATGAGGTGAGTAAGGTTCACGGTTAGAGATGCCTTATAGCCTTACTTCCTTGCATTCAAACTCAGTCCCAGCAGCTGCTAAGGAGTAGTTCGTGACCTCCAGAAGCTGCAGTAGCAGTCCTACGAGCAGCTGTCGGAAGCTTTGAATGCTTGTCGGGATGCTAAGCTTAGGGTCAAATGCTCATGCCTTGCGCATTGCGAGGCAGCGCAAAAGCAAAGACTAGAAGGCCTGGGTTCAGGGCACAAGCCATGCTTCGAGAATACCAGCAAACCCAGCATAGAAACGACAAGAAGTATGAGCTTGGGCGATGGGTAATCAGAACATCCCTGCCATGGAGAATATGATAGATGATTCTTGAGGAAAGCCTGCACATGCAGTCACAGACTTGGGGCAGCACTTCAAGCTGCTCACTTGCGTGTAGCTCAAATGGCAGAGAGAACAAGTCAAGATTAAACTGAAGGGAGTCCAGCCTGCCACAGTCATGAAGGCACCCAGGCAAGAGGCTGCCATGGCTTTTCCTTGCTTGCAAATTTTCTTTAACATAAAAATAATAATGTGGCAAACACGACGCTACATCGTCGCAAAGGTCAAAGGCTACCCAGCAATACTCCCAGGCTTCGAAGAAACAGGAGGATGCGACGCATGTTGCTTCCCTGCTGTATGTTGCTACCTTGGATCGGCTCAAACAGAATATCAAAAAAAAACTATCGTCTGAAGGTTCAGTGCAGTGGAACACATCCAAGCCACTCAGGCAAATTCCAATCGCACCACCTGGCCGGAAGCAAGGAATCAAATTGCACACGCCCATTCATTGCCCAGTGATGGACGGACCCTCCATCAAATCCATCTGGGATCTGCGTAATGTTCCACAACGCGGACTGAGATTTCAAGGATCTTAATACTCTGCAGAGAGCCTAGAGAGACCGTCGTTGTGGGAGTCTGTTCCGAGGCAACATCAATTCTGAAACTCTCAAGCATATCTAAGCATGTCTATATCTATCATGCTGATCTGCTGCAAACACCCCGACCGCACCTGCACCAGTGATCACCAAAAAGCTCACGACGGACATCTGCTTCTCCATCATCCAGAGTTGGATGAAAAGCCGAATCCAAATGAACGCAAGGCCAGCATTGATGTAGTTGGAAGAGGCGAAGGCCACAGTTGCTCGACAAAAAAGATGATTGCGCCACAAGATCCCTAGCTGCTGACACACTGTCAGGTCCTCTGCCGAACGGTTTAGGGTTCAGGGTATAGGATTGAATGTACAGCACCGCCAGCACTGTTACGCTACTTACCAGTGACGTCTGCAAAGCTGGCCAGTCCTCTGCCACTCTGATGGTTGTTAAGCAGCTTCCAGTTCGAGCACGGGATCTTGGCCGACTCGTTTCCACATCTGGCGATGCATCCTGAACTGAAACCTTCCTTGGAACAAAAAAGCAAAAAAATCTCTATTCCACGGGCTTCTCGATGCCGACACCCACGCCTGCCTGGTTCGACATACTGTCGTCTCAGGACAAGGATACGCACTACAAGTCCTGAAACTAACCTTGCGAGAACAATTCCAATTACCATTCAAGCCCTTATTCAAATTCGGTAAGGACTGAAACTGAGAGGGGCAACACCAAATTCCAGAGCCTCATTCCAGAGCCTGGGAACCTGAAACCTTAAACCATAAAGGTAGACCTAACCCTAAGTTGCGATCCCAGGGTCTATCAAGCCCGGGCTTGGCAAGTCAGACAATGCACGAAGACGTCTCTCCTCAGCAGTTACTCATAAACAAGCAGGCGGCACCAATGAACATGATGAAAATGATGCTTCAGCACGTGTCTTTGAACTGCCTAGGGCTAAGCAGTATCAATGACTACTACTACTACTACTACTACGACGGTGTACCACGACCCACCAATGCAGCCAAAGAACAAACTGCATCATGTCGTGTTTCACTCCATCACGTGTTTCTGCACCTCGGACACTCGGATCATCTTTGCTCTGGTATTGGTACGGTAAATGGTGATGCCTATGGGCTTTGTTATGCTTTAGTCCTGTTGCCTCTGCGTCCACTATTGAAGCATACTTTCATCATTCTAGGCTAGGGGACATCAATAAATAGCTTTGTGCAGCTGTCCCCCTAAGGCCAGCTCTGCTGATGGCTAGCTTCGCGCTTGGCGTCAGCATCATGAGCAGCAGCAGAAGGAAGAGGGCTGCTGCCTGAATGCTATCCAAGAATGAGGATATAAGTACAGCCACTGCCAACTCCATGAATTTCCCTCCTGGTTATGCACATTAATTTTAGGTCAGCGAAGGCCAAAGGGCTTCCTGTCAAGGTAAAGGTGTGCGCGTTGAATTCACGGTAGTCACCCTGAGGAGGGCTTTCGAGGGAGAAACTCTCATAGTCATTCTCAGCTGGATGCTGAATTCGATCGTGAGAAGTGATGGCTTTTCATCGCTGGCTTACAACAGTTGTGCTCGAAAAGCAAATGTCCATCATCTACACAATGACATTTATTACAAATTCAGGCACCATCGCACGCAGCACCTCATCTCAGTCTCGATGAACCATTTCCAGTGAGTCTCCGTATGCAGGTCATCAAATCTTTCCCAAATCCATACTCCATCACAATTGGGTCAAGGAGCACAAGGAACCATTCCACAACATCATGATGTGTAAGCCTTTCAAGTCGCGCTACCCGTAAAAGAAATCTGCGCAAACGACAATTTCTGTTTCGCCGCTGCACGCCTCGGAATCAGCCTGTGAACCGTGTTGCTATCCATTCCCAAAGACAAATCTGGAAAAGACAAAAACCTAGAAACGAAGCAAACGCACAGCCCAGGCCTCAATCTGGAAAGGTACAGCATAAGATAAGCCATGGGCAGTGGTGAACCCCGCGACGAACATACCCAAGCCTAGCCAAAACACAAGAGGAGACCGGGATGGTTATAGGAAGCGTTTGGACCCGCGTACCAAACTGAAAATTGAAAAGACATCGGGCCAGCGTTTCTCAAGGGCTTGAAAACATTGATAAGATACCAGCCCTATCAACCACAACGAGGTAGCCATTACGTCACTCTAAATATTCCAGCTTCATGCTCAGTTAACACCTCATAGAGGAATTTATTTGGAGGGACAGTCCGAAAGAAATCGAGGCAAGTTGCCCTGGCAAAGCTTTGGTTTTCTTCTGCACAACTGATTCTACAACGCTCACTTCCCCCTTGTGCAGAGTGCGGAAAATGAGCTCAACACCGTTCTGTCATAGACTGGCAGTGTAAGCAGTAGAAAGCTCGGGCTCTACGTTCTCAACTAACAGAGATCAAAATTACAAAAGAAAATAGTAACGTGATGAAGGCAGTCACTTTGTGCTGCCTGATTACCAGATCCCACGCCACCTGCAACACAGCCAGAGAGATTGATCCTGGTTGTCTTGGCTTTGGCTGCAGCTCCAAAAATGTGGGCTCAAGTTTTAGGAGCCTACGCCCCGATACTTGTTCCTGTTTTGGAAAGCCAGAAAAAACTTTCTGTATTTCAGGAAGCCCAACTGAACTGCTTTCCTAACGCTCGCCACGGTTCCAAAGCGGCAAAGCGGCTTCATCTGCCCACTTGACCACCCAAAGCGGGGCCCAAACCTCAGCATTCCATGCTCCACCTTCGCACTAAATCTTGATTGTCAACGTACACAATCGGAGACAGGAACGACATTCTCATTGCAGTCAGGGGGCCCATTGGAGCCCTTCGGACATCCCAATCAGCAGCTTTGTTGTGTACATGATGTAGCCTCGGCCAGCTAAGCTGAAAGGCGTTTGGGAACAGAAAGCTCAAAGCCTGGCAGTATCATGCGCGAAGCAGCACTTACTTGCCCTTTACACTGTGACTGAGTCATAGTCCTACTTTGCGCAGCCTGCGTCCCAGTACCGTACTTAGAAGCCCAAAGCTTGAAGAAAAGGCATGTGCTGCTATCTTAGATCAACATTGCAGGGTTCATGACAAGAAGCTGTTCATTGTGACAGCAAATACAGCAGTGGCGAGAACATTGACAAGGAGACCTGGCGGATTTGAAGGCTGAGACGGGCTTGTGGATGTGCGTGTGCTGCATACCGGTACGCAAGTTTTCAAAATTGGCAAATTAAACATGTGTTCCAGATCAAAACTCCATGTCAACGAAAAGCAAGAAACACTTCAGTCTGTAAGTCATGCTGTGCTGCGCTGTCCACACGAAATGAAATGTGACTCAATGGCTGTCACGAACCCAATTTTCAACTGATTGCAGCAAAGAGTGATCCGATACTTTTCTGGCATTGAGGCCATAGGCGGCTAACTGATTCGATAGGAAGGGCCACCAGCCTCTTATGAAGCGCCTAGCAGCACAAGCCGGGTTGGGGCTTGTTCGTTTCCTCGCCCCTCCCCTCCTGCCCACATATCTATTCGTGGGCTTGCAAATGGCAGCTTGTCTTCAATCCCGCATTTACCGATGTTTCCCAACAGCGTCGCAAATTGAACTGCAGGAATTGCTAATTGTTCAGTGCAAAATCCGCCTGAGCGGAGAGGCCCATGCTCTGCAATACTTCCCACGTGTCCACAAACACAGCAAACATCCATTTCTGCTGCTGCTGTCAAGCACGGCTTCCTGAAAACCACATCGCGTGCACCGAATTTTGGCGTCTTCCAGTGGTCGATTTTGCAAAGCTCTCGCAAATTCTGCGGCTGCAAAGCTGCGCGTTGCTCCTTCAAAGGCTCAGAGTTAGCCTCCCTCGAGGGCTTGCGGCTGATTATGGCTGTTTCCAAGGGCTTGCCACATTGCTTCGCTGGTGAAGGAAGAAGCCAAAGAATAACTTCCAACAGAGAAGGTTGGCCACTCCAGTTGATTTAGGATTGACTGTCACCTGTATTGCTTAGTAGGATCATTTAGGGTTGGGGTTGCTAATTGCGGGGGTGTCTTCTGCATTCTGCATCGGGCTTGCCACGGCCAAACCAAACTCCCAGAAAATTGATTGACACTGCCTGCAGCCCCGCAAATAGTCTGGATTGAAAAGCCTCCTACCTGAGCTCAAGAATATTCACCCTCTAACCCGAATTAGTCGCAGGGTGAGCCTAGTGAGAGCAGGACTTTGGAGGAGACCGACTGGAGAACATAGCCCCAGATCCCCGCTGACAGGGTCATGCCGATCCTCGGAATCAACATGCAGGTACAGAAATGGCACGGATATCTCTGTCACCGAAAGCCCCAGTACAAGAAGACCAACGCCTGTGGGAACAATGCCGTTCTATCTGTCATGCACCTCCGTCTGAGCGTGCGACTTATCCATGGCACCCAAAAGCCCGAGTGATGTCTCACTCCATCCACCTGCCTGAGAAGTGACCCTTACAGGAAGCATCCATGTTCGTGTTCAAAGGCTTCGGGCACGTGGGAACAAATCGCTCACAACTGTCTACGCAGCTTTCTGGCATCACCCCTTGTGGCAGACACGCGCTTCTGAGAAACCCTTTTTTCGTGTACAGTCCCGATATTAGCAGTGCCAGTCGCTAGCTCATGCTGGTCTTGTCAATGCATCACAATACTTCAGTACCCCTGCAAACTTGAGGGTGGGACTTAAAAAATGCACAGGAACGCTCGGAACGGCTTTGGCTGCTTGAATGACAAAGGTCATGTCTGTATTATCCCAACTTACAACCCAAAAAGTTCGGACTCAGGTCATGCAAACTGAGGTAAAGTCCGGTGCATGTGCGTTTTTCGCTTACTTGCAGAAGCTGGAAGACAAAATCCATAAGCTAATCAGCACACAGTGCAGGAAAGAAATCCCATCACCTGAAAAACAATACTGGTAATGTCTTATGTCTAGAAAATTGCTGCGCCTGCTGGAGCGTATCTACGGTGGCAGCCGTAGCCCCTCCATTGTATGCCATGAACATCGGCACGGCCACACAAAACCTTTGCTGTTCAGGGAAGTCTGGTGAATCGGACTGATGTTTGTCTGGCTCCGGAGAACCAGTTTTGACACGCAGCACACATGCAAGAATTAGGAAATGATGTTGAAAATTGCACCGGGAACAAATAGAAACTCAATTCCTTGTTGAAGCATTCCATGGCGGGCACGAGGCATTTAAGAATGGATGCAAATCAGCAACTGCCCTTTTAAGATGCAGGTCAACACGATAGTTCCAAAACAATTGACAAGATGATGCAGGGACAGAAAAGCAATTGGTATCACAGCTTGGAATGATTCTCTTGACATGGCACTGTCGTGGCACATGGCCTTGATATCCCAAAGATTGTTATGATAGTGAGGACTATCAAAAAAACTTTTAAACCTTTACAAATTAAGACCACGAAGCCAAAGAAGACTAAGCAGAACTGTATGAAAAAGCATATGACATGTGATAGTGCCGATTGTCATTGTAATTTGCCCCTTTCATGTCAATTACCCACAAAGTCCGATGTGGGCGTCCAAAGTGCGAGCCAAAATGTTGCACGAATGTCAGCTGCCAGCTCTTCCTGGGGTGAGTACTACAAAGTTCAAGCAAGCTCACGTCGAACCTCCGCAATTGGCTTTTGGAAGTTGAAAGGTTTGCTCCAACGGTATTTTCCAGTGAACGCACGGATCATACATGCTGCGGTTCTGTTCTGGACGGCTAAGACCTCTACGTTAACCCTCCCATGAAAAGGGATGCTTAGAAGCATATCCAGCAGCGAAGATGAGTTCGAAGAAACATTAGGAGCCGCCGCTTGCCCTTCTTACATCAATCCTGCAAGGCATCAGGACTTGCC